TTGGTTGGATGGCACTCCACTGCAACACTCACTGTATTTTTAAAATCATCTTATAAAGACACAAAAGAGGGCTTTCAGAACTGCTTCAAAAATTGGCAAGAATGGTGGGATAAGAAAATCTAACGTGAGGGGAAGAAGTCTGAGAGACATTAATTGCAATGTGTCTTTAACAGTCAATAAATTTAAGCATTCTTTATATGTTTTGATCATACTTTATATGTATGCTTTTCTCCAATTAAAAGTAAAAGTAGAAAGGAATTTTACAAAAATACCTGTCCTGTTCCCACTAACTGTGTCAAGACCATCTCAGAAAGTCTGACATACAACTAAGACGAGGCAGGGAACAGGACAGCACAGAGTAATGTAGTATCCTAGAAAGATCCTGGAACTGAAATAGCAAATAAACCAACAAAATCTAAATAAATGATGGGGTTTTATTAATAATATATCAATAATGGCTCATTAATTATAAAAACATAACCATATTAATGTAAGGTGTTAATAACAGGGAACTACATTGGAACACTTTGGACCACAGTCTCACTTTTTCTGCAAATCTAAACCTATTCCAAAAATCAGGACTGTTTTTACAAAATAAAGGGGACTTCTGCTCAAACAGAATGAAGATCTAGACGATCGGGGGCTCTCATACAGCAAAAACGTAGATAATGAAAAAGACCCTTTTACGTCCATTGTAGAACTTGAGGGAAGTAGGAAAAATGTTCCTGTGTGCTCCTGATATGTACCTTTCTAGATCTACACCCTCCGAATAAACAAAAGTGGAGACAGACAAGTAAGAATAAGAATATTAACCTTAAAAATTGCCCATAAAAGAACCATGTTCAGAAAACAAGGCTTATACCAGCTACAACGTGGAGGACCAGAACCCAAGACTTTAAACTCGAAACTGAAAGAGCCTAAATGGTTCCCACAGGAGTCCCCTGGGCTGCTGGGAGAGAAATCAGAAGAAGTTTTTAAAAACTTAGACCTTCACAAAATTCCAACGCTGAAAATTTTTCAGCTCTAAAATACGGTGGAGCTATTTAGAAAACGTTTAAAGAAATGAGAGTAGAATTATAGTGATAATCAAGTAGCAAGAGACTATCAAAAATGACCGAATATGCATGACAATCAAATGGAGTTTTTATGCATGAAATATGTTAAAATGAAAATAGATGGATTGAGTGATAAATTGTTTTTTTTTTTTTTTTTTTTTTTTTTTGTCTTTTTCGTTTTTATCGGTACCAGGGATCGAACTCACAACTGCCTGCTTGCAAGCAGGCGCTTATGCCGCTGAGCTAAATCCCGGGCCCCAAGTGACAAATTGGAAAAAATAATAAACCATGGAATATCTGAGAAAAATTATCCAGAGTAGAGAGTAATGAAATGGGAAATAGTGTAAGAAATGTTAAGTAATATAGACATTAGTATAAAAAATTTTTATGTATACAGGATCAGATTCCTAGGAAGCAGATCTTAAAAACTGAGAAGCACTCTGATACAAGTTAATTGCTTAGAATTTTCCAGAATTTAGAAAAGAAAAAATGCTTAGATTTGAGAAGTACAATGTAGTACGAGAATACAACTTTACAAATCTCTTCCTATTCAAGATTTTAAAGTTTTAAAATCTTATTAATGTTTCCTATCAGAGTAGTGTAATTTTCAGTGTATAAATCTTTTACTGCCTTTGTTAGATTGACTTCTACGTATGCCATTTTTGGGTTTTTTTGATGTTAGCACGAAGAGTGTAGTTTTCCTAATTTCTTTCTCAGTGAGTTTGTTTGTGTATAGGAATGCTATTGACTTCTGAGTATGGACTTTGTACCCAGTTATGCTGCTGAGTTTACTTATTGAGTCTAGTAGTCTTTTGATGGAATTTTTTGGAGTCTTCTGTATAGAGTATCATGTCATCTGCGAATAGTGATAAATTAACTTCCTTCTTTCCTATCCTTATTCCTTTTATTTCTCTCTCTTGTCTGATTGCTCTGGCTAATGTTTCCAGAATTATACTGAAAAGGAGTGGTGATAGTGGGCAACCTTATTTTGTTCCTAATTTTAGAGTGAAAGCTTTCAGGTTTTGGCCATTTAGTAAGCTGTTGGCTGCTGGTTTGTCATAGATGGTTTTTGGAAAATTGAGGTAAAGACCATCTATGCTGATTTTCTCTATGGTTTTTACCATGAATGATTGATGATTTTATCAAAAGCTTTTTCTGCATCTACTGTGATCATCATGTGATTTTTGTCTTGGCTCTGTTAATCTGGTAAACACAGGTTGTGAGTTCGATACCCGGTACTAAAAATAAAAAATAAAAATGATGTTTTGTCACAATGTCTCTGCCTTGGAGCAGCATACCACAGATTGACACCTCTGCAACTGTGAGCTAAAAAAAACTTTTCTTCCTTTAAATTGTCTATGTCAGGTATTTTATCCCAGCAACTAAAAGCTAATGACCTTTCAGACATGGATGGGAAATTCAAGAGAAAAAAGGAATATATATTATCTTTTCTACTTTGATTGTCTTTACTTAATCTCCAGACACATGGAACAAATTTAAAGATTATATCATTTGTGATTTGAATCTCACAAAAGTATGTACTTTTCTGTATTTTGTTTTGGCCAGCTACTGAACCTCTCACTTGTCAGAAATGCACTTTTTAAAAGGAGAATAATAGTATTTATTTTCAAACAATACATTCCAGAGTTACAGGACACAGTAAATGGCTTGCCTTTTAATATCTAACTAACATACGCCTCTAGTTATTATTCTACATATGATTCCTCTTCCAGTTATGAGCCTTCAACATTTGCATGTCAAAAAATGATATGGTAAAAGACTTGTATATGTAATTGAGCTTTTTTAAAAAACTAGTGTTTTGAGAATTTAAATCACTTACCTTATGCTATAACCATCTTCCACTTCATAGGATTTCTTTGGTGTTGAAAAAGGCCTAGACTGTACCTCTCGCTGCTCTCTCTAGTTCAGTGAGTAAAGACATATGTAACATAGAACAGAAAGGAAAAGGAAGATATATTCTGGTACCTTTCAGAACACCGATCATTTCAGAGTTTTCCATGGTTTTTATAACATGAAAACACAGAATTTGAAAGATGACTAGTATGAAAATGAGGCCTGATGTATTACAGCTCCCCTTTTCATTTGCTCTGGGTTCACAAAGTCAATCCAAAGGGGAAATAAAAGAATGCAGAGGCTCCTTTAAGATATTTTAAGTTCCTGTTTCCCTGCTAGAATCTTCTATTGTTATACAGCATGCAATAAAAATTAAAAAGAGATAAAATGTTTTTGAAAAATGCATTTAATATGCAGGAAAATGTCTCAAATCAGGTAAAATCTGTGTTGTGAATATCATAAAGATGCTAAAAATCAATTATCAGGAGCAAAACTGCATCAAGAAAGGAAAACAAATACACACATTCTGTGGAGCCAAAGTTACACTCGGTAGCAGTTTCCGTGGGCTGGGGGGTGGGGTGCAAGGCCTTCTCCTGTCCAGTCCTCCTCAGTTTCCTTCTTTGCTTTCTTTTGGAAGAAAGGAAATTATTTTGTAGTGACTCTACATATGAATGTCTCATTCTATTACAATGTGGGGTCTTTCTGTCCCAGGAACTTCTTGTTCTAACACTGGCAAGACTAAAAGTGGAATAGGTTGGTTATTTGTGCTTGTTTTGTTTTCCTTAAATGAGAATTCACTGCTCTAAATTCCCTCTGAGGACTGCTTTCATTGCATCCTATAGGTTCTGGTAAGTTGTGCTTGTATTATCATTTGATTGCATATATTAATTTCTTTAATTTCCTCTATGACCCACTGATCGTTCAGTAACGTGCTATTTAATTTCCATGTGTTTATGGAGCTTTTGCAGTTTCTTTTGTCATTAATTTCCAATTTCATTGCACTGAGGTCAGATAATATGTGAAGGATAATTTCAATTTCTTTGCATTTACTTAATATATTCCATGGGTTAGTATATGGTCTATTTTAGAGAACTTCCCATGTGCATCTGAAAAGAATGTGTATTCTGATGTGAAAACTGTACACATCTACTGAGTCCATATGTTCACAAGTTTCAATCAGTTCTGTTAATTCTTTGCTGATTTTTTTGTCTAGTTGATCTGTCTCTTAATGTCAGTAGGGTTTTAAGGTCCCCTATTATACTTGTATTATTGCTTATTTGATTTTTCATGTCTATTAATATTTGTCTTACATAGCTGGGTGCTCCCATATTTGGTGCATATATGACTTTTAAGTCAGCAAAGTCCAGTTTCTGTCCTTGCAGAAATGTTCCTGGAATTTCTGTCCTTGATAATTTTCACAAGGAACTTTATGAGAGCTAGCCCTGTTTGCTAAGTAGCCTCAAAGCTATTGTTGAAATAATAGTATGCTACTGCGTTTCTGAATATTTTCACCAGATTCTCCAATTTTAAGTATTTAATGAAATGATTTGAAGTACACATACATGTACTTCGGAACAAAATTTCTCTTTGGGTGTGAAATAAAAAGATCCGAGGTATCCAAAGGAGAAGGAGAGCCGAGACACCTAATAATTTCCATGAACGCCTCCACCTTAGTCTCACTTCCAGGGGCTCAGTTCACAGCTTTCAGACCTGCAGACAAACGTAGACGCTGGAGCAGCTTGGTTGTAAAACATGGTGAATCAATGCATCTCTGGGTATGTAAGCTCCCATTTGTTTCAGCTCCCTCATTCCCTAGGATGAAATTCGGCGATTTTATACACCCACCCTTCCACAGAGGAGATTCAACAAAGCTGCAGGCATGTTTATGCAAAATGTGTGTACCCAGAATCCTCAGGTCAACAAAAGCAGTCTCTTCTGGATTTACACAAGAAGTTTATTAATTGAAAGGATTCACTGATCTTACTTATTGGCTGTCTGAGAAAGTCAGCGTGAACCCACCAGTGGTATCACTACTAAGAACTAAGCCAATAGAAAAGTGAGACATGTAAAGAACGAACGCACATTGTGTAATATTGTCAACGAAAGTTTTATTATTACACATTTCATAGTGAAAAGGTTACATGAACCCTGTTGTAACCTACTACACTACATAATGATTTCCTGCTTCAGAGGCTATTTCAGCCAGCCAGGTTGGCAATTTCATTTACTTGGCATCAAGTTTATGAGGTTGTTTGCAGAATCTAGCATCCCTAACAATTTGATCTACACATCCCTGGAAATTTGGTATCCTCTGCTGTTCAACATATATTCATTTTATACAACGTCACAAAGACTCATGTAAATTTGTTGAAAATGACATGATTTTCTCTTGTAGAATACTTGCATAATTGTCCATAAAAACCTCCTGCCTTCGCCTTGAATTTTATATAAATAGTTATTGCCAAAACTTCCCCTGTCAATAGGCCCTGCTCAATATCATTCACTTTGCCAAGGAAAATTAGTTTTTCTGGGACAATTCCTACGCAGATTTCATTGCATTTCCTCTTTACTCCTTGGATATACTCTCTAGAGATCCCAACACACTCAACTCAGTAGAAAAGCAGCTTTGAGCACTGTGAGCAACACTCTAGTTAATGTGAAAATAAATCTAGGAGTGGGATAACTAAAATAACATTTTCACTAATTGTGCTACCAATTTCAAATCCGGATTACATCAGTCACCCGCACGTGGTCCGATAGTGATGTGCAGTAACTAAACCATGAGCACAGGTCTCTTGCCCTGTGCATTCTTTTTCTTCTTTGTAGCCCTGGCACTTCCTCTTACATGTGGTACTTGGTCTGTGTTGGTGGACTCTCGACCTGTAATGTTTCTGGCCAAATTGGTGGGACAGAAATTTTCTTGTTCTGGATGAGTCTTCTTCAGTTTACCTGTGTTCTTTGATCGGTGGGTCATGACTACATTGGTTGGAAGATTACGTTCTACTTTCCGGAGATTCAACTTAGTCTTTGGTTGTTGTTGTTCTTGGAGGAATTTCCACTCATCTAAAGTGCTGCCTTCAATGTGTGTCTTCTCTAAATTGATGTGCTCTCTGTGGGAATCTATTTGAAGATCTCTTAGGTTTGCACTCAAGCCCTTGTCCTCAGATTCAAGAGTTTTTGCTTTCGTGTCTGCTGACATACCACTGCTGTCTGTTTCCAGGTTAGACCTCTGGACATAAAAGAGGACATAGGCATCTTGAATCAGGGCAGAAGTTCTGTCACAGGCAGTTACTTTGTTATCATTCATCTTGTACCAGTGGCCATCCCCAGCTCTGACGTAAGAAAAGTAATGTCCACTGTGAGAAGTGAAGCCAGCGTGGACCAGCACAGCATACAGGGTGTACAGGAGTGGTTTGTTGTTCTGCTCAGACATATATGGCTGCATGTCAAGACACTCAGAATATTGAACATGCTTGGCAATCTTCTTCCCTGTGACATCTGAGAAACGTTTTAACAGGATGATGAGGACTTTGGAGGCAGTGTGTAAAGTCAGTGTCTTGGAGGCAGGCATCTTTTGGAGACAAATGCTACAATGATAGGCATTTTCCCCACTGAGTTCCTCAGGCTGTACGGATCGTGCCAAAGCTTGCTTCACACTCCGAGTGGACTTGATATCCAGAGGAATGTCCAGATAAGGATCAAATGTGTCAGAAGTGCTTCCACACTGAAGACACTTGATTTGTGATCTCCAGTAGCCACCAAAGATTTCACGCACTAGACTCCTGTTTTCAGAGTGAAGATCGACCTTCTGCATGGCATCCACAATGAACATGAGAAACTCATGTGCATCTTCCTGATTCTCTCTGTGGAAGTCGGCAAGCAATGCACGTGAAGGCTGAATTACACGTCCTGGATGACGGAGAGCCTGAGTGATGTGACACCGTATAGCACACCACATGCAGATTCTCTTACCAGGACAGGATAACCTGAGCCCCAGGGCCAGCATATGGTTGGCCAGAGGTGGTGTGTATGTCAGGCACTGCAGGGTTGCATTCACATAGCAAGTGTTTCCCAAATTCCGGAGACCAGCTCCAACTCCATAAGGTGTCTTCCAGCTCAGGGAAACTTCATGTCTCTGATCCAACTCTGTAGTCACAAGAGACACCGTATCACACTGAGCCAGCTCTGGAGTCACAGGAGACACCGTATCACACTGAGCCAGCTCTGGAGTCACAGGAGACACCGTAGCACACTGGGCCAGCTCTGGAGTCACAGGAGACACCATATCACAATGGGCCATCTCTGGAGTCACAGGAGACACCATAGCACACTGGGCCAGCTCTGGAGTCACAGGAGACACCGTAGCACACTGGGCCAGCTCTAGAGTCACAGGAGATACCGTATCACATTGGACTGCATTGGTCCAAGTAGCCATCAAGGCATCTGCAGGAATATAAGAAATCAAATCAAAATGAGCACCAGTAGAATTTGAAAAAACATGTGGAACTCGGGGACATAGCACTAACAGAAAAGCAGGCAAAGCCCAACTAAAGAGAAAAGTCCAGGCTGGTCTCTGTGAGGAACACAGGTACAGAAATAATATTTCAGGAAACAGAATCATCCAGATCACACATCATGAACCAAGTGGGCTTCATTCTAGATAAGCACATACAGGTCAACATATAAAAATCAATACAAGCGATACACCACACCAAGAGGAGGAAGAGCAGACATCACAGGATCAACTTAATGGATGTGGAAAGAGCTTTCTCAAAATCCATCCTTCACTCCTGGTCGAAACCCTGAAGAAAATACACACAGCAAATAGCTCCACAAGATGAATGCCATTTGGGAACAACATGCTGCCAGATCTGTATCACAACAAAGCCAGAAGCTTTGTCCCTAATCAAAGCAAGACAAGCATGATTTTAGTCACACTGCAATTCTGTCGAGTACTCAAAGATTAGGCATTTCAAGCAGGCAAGAGAAGTGAATAGAAGAAATCTGTGCTGGCGAGACAGAATTCAAGTAATCATTATTTGGACAGTAGGCTCCTTGCAACTGAGGGATTACACAATCTTTCGTGCAAAGACTCATAGAATTAATAACCAAATTCATCAGTATAACAGAAGACAAAATCAACAGCAATATTAATTGTGTTCCTTTAAACCAATGATCAGCTCAGCAACAGGAAAATCAGGAAAACAACATCCTTCACAATAGCAGCAAGAGCATGTAAATAACAAAACTATGGAAGCGAAGAGTGTCTACAATGAGACCTCGTACTCTGAAAAAGACATTGAGTGGGACATCAGAAAAGGCAAGATCCTCCCTGTTCTTAAAAGAGCACACACACAGTATAGTTAATATTGGCATATTTTCAAAATGGGTAGATAGTTTTAGTGCCATTTCAATTAAAATACCACTGGCATTCTCCAAGAGAGCCCCAAAAGCAAAAGTGATCCTGGACAACAGGATCAAAACTGTAGCCGTCATGATCTCAAACTTCAAGATATATTACTAAGCAAGAGGGATGGGAAGCAGGTTGAGGAGTGCACAGAACACACATGTGGATCAGTGGAAGAGAAAATCAATTAGAAAGACAACAGGCTCATTCAGCTCTCTGACCTTCCACAATTGGGCAGAAAAGTCCTCAGAGGAAAGATAGACACCTTGGCAAACCATGCTGGGAAAACTAGCCTTAACCATGCAGAAGATCAGTTAGAGACCCATATTTTTCACTATGAAGTAAGTTATGTTCAGCATGGAATAATTTATTAAATGTCCCCACAGGAAAATGTAATTGATTGAGCTGAAACTTTGTACTCAATCTGGAGTGGCACAGAATACTAAAGAGAGGTTTTCCCAGGGACCCACCAGCATGGGCCGAGTTCACACCAAGACAGTGAAGAAGGCGGCCTGAGTTGTCATTGAGAAGTACTACATGCACCTGGGCAATGACTTCCATACCAACAAGCGTGTGTGTGAAGAGATTGCCATTATCCCCAGCAAGAAGCTCCGCAACAAGATAGCAGGCTATGTGACACCTCTGATGAAGTAGATTCAGAGAGGCCCAGTGCGGGGTATTTCCATCAAGCTGCAGGAGGAGGAGAGAGAAAGGAGAGATAATTATGTCCCTGAGGTCTCAGCCTTGGATCAGGAAATCATGAAGTAGATCCTGACACTAAGGAAATGCTGAAGCTTTTGGACTTCGTCAGCCTCTCTAACCTGCAGGTCACGCAGCCTACTGTCGGGATGAATTTCAAAACGCCACGTGGAGCTGTTTGAATCTCTTTGCTATGCTGTAATGTTGTCAATAAATTTGGGACAAAGAAAAGAACACTAAAGAGAGGAGGCAAATAGATAAGAAGGAGTTTAATGAGGGCACAGAGGGAGTCACCACAGAGAGGCTGTGGCTCGGCTCTCTGCAGACAAAGGGCAGGTTCTGCCTGATAAGGGCTCTGGGGACTGATGTGAGCTGAATTATTTTGTGAGTGTGCAGGGGATTGGGTAAATCTTTACATGCTTGAGCTTTGGTAGTCTTTTGGGAGGAAGAAGCCATAGGGGCTTTTGGGAAGAAGGAGTTACGCATTATCATGGCACAGTTTTGAACCATCACCATGATGATTATGCTGTCCCTCAGATGGGGGATCTATCAGTAATCTGTGGGAAAGACAAAGTAGATAACATAGTTGAGGATGGAGACCTAGCAAATGACATTCTGAGCAGATCTTCAGATACAGAATAATTATCAAGATTCAACGAAGACTATATAGTAAAAGATTCATAAAGCCAAGTGTAAAGCTTCTATAAGACCATAAGAACAGCCCCAAATAAAGCAGAAGACCCAAATCAGAATGTGCTTTGCCACCACCCTCCAGAGATCTTTGAGGCTGCCAGGTGTGCCTGGCTGTTAACCTTCAGCTCATGGCAAGGAGGCCCTTGGCTCAATTCAGATGGACTCTGCTTTGATACTAGATAAACACAAGTGATCCAAGGAATGGGGTGAGGAGAGCCCCAGAGGATATATGTGTGTATCAAATGCTGAAGGGATGGAGTCCCCATGTTTGACACACTGGCAATCATAAGAATTTTCACAATGGGGCTGGGGATTTAGCTCAGCGGCATAAGAGCCTGCCTTACAAGCAGGCAGTCGTGAGTTCGATCCCTGGTACCAATAAAAAGGAAAAAGACAAAAAAAAAAAAAAAAGAAAAGAAAGAAAAAAGAATTTTCACAGTGAAACTACTGAGTCAGTCTCATCCCATCAGGGGCTTGAAACAGCCTCCACATACACTAGGACATGACACTAAGATGTTGTCCCAGATCTTTAGTGGCAGAAAGATGCTTCCCTCTCCCACAGTCTCCCACTGAAGAGGACTTCAAGCCCTCATTAGTCCTATAAACAAAGCCTCCCACCACACACACCCCCAGCATAAGGTTTCTCAGCAACAGGGTGAAATGTCTTCTGTGCCTCAGGGAATAGTGGGTGTGGTCACTTATGTGCCTCAGGGAATAGTAGGTGTGGTCACTGTACCTTACAGTGGATCCCTGGACTCCTTTTAACTTGTTTCTGTTGAAAAATGCCTGAGGAATATTTGAATATGAAGATTTTCAAGATGGGTATGGAAGAGGAATGGCCTTGAACTGATAGATTCTTACATTTTTCTTCAATCTAAAATGGGGTAAGAAGCCAAAGAGAAATTATGAAATCCTCTTTGGGAATCAGTATTTGTTGGTGAGGATTTAAAGGTTAAACAACATAAAGAGCAAAATAAAATCTCCATTTCAAACCAGCAACTGACGCCATACAGAATTCTGAGTGGGATCTGTGGAACAGGCCAGAAGATGGAGGTAGGGATGAGGAGAGATGATCAAGATGAAATGTGTGTCTGTCACATCCCCAAGCTGAATGCAATATTCACATACTCAAAACATGCACTGAAAATGCAAAAACTAGTTGCTAAGGGGTGGGGGAGTTGTTAGGAAAGTAGGTTTTCCTCCGGCTTCTTAGTTTCGAGCCGCGGCTGTCAGAGCAGACCCCCGCCATGGGCAACACGAGCAGCGAGCGGGAGCAGCAAGGTGGCCATAAGACACCCCGGAGGGGCAGCTCAGGAGGCACCAAGGACGGAGACCGGCCCAAGATCTTGATGGACAGCCCTGAGGACGCCGACCTCTTCCACTCCGAGGAGATCAAGGTGCCAGAGAAGGAGGAATTCCTGGCCTGGCAACATGACCTGGAAGTGAATGATAAAGCTCCTGCCCAGGCACGGCCTACTGTGTTTCGATGGACAGGGGGTGGAAAAGAAGTTTACTTATCTGGGTCCTTCAACAACTGGAGTAAACTTCCCCTCACAAGAAGCCACAATAACTTTGTAGCCATCCTGGATCTGCCAGAAGGAGAGCATCAGTACAAGTTCTTTGTGGATGGCCAGTGGACCCTTCCGAGCCAATAGTAACCAGCCAGCTTGGCACAGTTAACAACATCATTCAAGTGAAGAAAACTGACTTTGAAGTATTTGATGCTTTAATGGTGGATTCTCAAAAGTGCTCCGATGTGTCTGAGCTGTCCAGTTCCCCACCAGGCCCCTACCATCAGGAGCCCTACGTGTCCAAGCCAGAAGAGTGGTTTAAAGCACGACCCATTCTCTCGCCACACCTGCTACAGGTCATCCTGAACAAAGACACTGGGATTTCTTGCGACCCAGCACTTCTCCCAGAACCCAACCACGTCATGTTAAACCACCTGTATGCACTGTCTATCAAGGATGGAGTTATGGTGCTCAGTGCGACCCACTGGTACAAGAAAAAGTATGTGACCACCTTACTGTACAAGCCCATATGAAGAGCGGGGAGCCGACACTGGGCCCTAGGGACAGTTGGCACCTCTGTGCTCCCCGTGTGCATGCTTTCCACTAGAGGAATGGTCTGGCAACTTCTCATTTCATACTCTTTAAGACATTTCATACCTGCCCTACTCCTACTTGAAGGTTTGCCCAGGTGCCCCAGCTCCAGGGCAGCCTGGTTCTGTAACAGTCCTCTTAGCACTTGGCTGTGAGCCTCGGGGACTCATCATGGGCGACAAAGGCAGAAGTGAAAGTGGAGGAGCTGCAGCCCCAAGACACTGCACAAGGTCAGGTGCGGCTCTCAGCATGCGCCCTCTCAGCTGGTCATGGACATTCTTAAACCAAAAGTGCACACTAGCCACTTTGCTGGGGAAAATTGCAGGAAGCAGGGGCTGAAGTCACACAACATTTCTAATTGTGCATCTTTAAGGCCACTGGCCTGTCCCTACTGAGGCCTGGCTGCGGAGCTCAGAGTAAGTCCCATCTTGCCTGTCCTTCCAAATCAAAGCAATAGATTGCCTCTCTTTCCCTGCTTCAGGGAGGTATAATTTCTATTGAAATTAAAAGCTGTCTGATTTCCAAAAAAAAAAAAAAAAGCAAAAACTTAAAAAAAAAAACAAAAAAAAAAAAGAATGTTACTGAACGGAGGTGATGTCCCCCAGTGGTGTGAAATGGCCTCCATGTGTTGTGGAGCAAAGATCGAAAGGTTTTGTACAGAAGTTCAGCAGCTGAAGGGTACTTCTTGGCCTGAGGAGTTCTGGATTGCCTGGAATTACCAACCCTCAATCCATTTTACAGCCCATCTGTCCTACTCACTCCATAGGTTCCACCAACCCAGTGAAAATTCGTCCCAGGGATCATAGAAAAAAACCAGCATTTTGGCATTTCCAAACCGAGCCAGCGAAGTTGGTATGGTCTTTTCTTTACAAGACCCCAGACACATACACGGAACAGTTCCCAAACTCCTACATGTGGACCTTTCCTGAACGTGTAGTAGGTTTTACAAGCCTAGGGTGGTTTGGCATCAGATGGCTCCAAGAGCCTCATGCGTTTGTGGGGGAGATGCGTTTAAGAGTGGTTGGACCCAGGG